CCCTCAGACTTTGGTGCTCCTAGTTCTTGGGCTTTTGAACTCAAACTAGGACTTCTACCATTGGCTCCCCTGGTTCACAGTCTTTTGAGTTTGGACTGACACTATACCTTTCCTGAGCCTCCAGTTTACAGATGGCAGATAATGGGACTTCTCAAAACTCCAGAACCTCATGAGCTGATACCACACAAAAAAATCTCTTTTTATATATCTATATCTCCTACTGGTTCTGTTTCTCTGGAGAACCCTGACTATATACTCTTGTACCATGGAAAAAATACCACACAAAAAATAAATAAATCAATCAAAAATAACTCTTTATTCATACATTTATTTCAGGACTCTAGGAGTCTTTTAAAATTAAGGGGACCCTATAGTAAACATATTTTAAGAACTTTCTTGAACCATTTTCAAGGACAACAGAATAGTTAAGAATTTATAAAATGAATTTATTATGTCAAGTCGACAAATATTTATTGAGCTCTGCTGTGTACACAGTGCTATGTTAGATACTGTGGAATTCAACAATAAAGGAGACAGGCTCCCTGAAATTCAAAGAGCTTACAGTCCTGTCAAAGGTGGACTTTGAACTCTATTCCAAGTGGACAGTAGTTGCACATTCTTTGCACTTTTCTAACTAAGACAATAAGTTTTAAAGTTGATTGAACCAATACTTAAAACTATATTAAAATAAACCATTCATTGCTCCTGTTTTATACTTTCCAGTGAAAATCTTCTGTTGAGATAAGGATTAGGAAGCTTTGCTTTCAAGGTAGCCAGGGGTCTAGACCAAGATGGGTTGTTCACTGAACAACACTCTTATAGGTTTTAATACTTTTGACTATGAGGAAGTAGCCTAATGCTAAGAAAAAACATGGGCCTTGGGAGGCCAAGGTGGGTGGATCTCTTGAGGTCAGGAGTTCAAGACCAGCCTAGCCAACATGATGAAACCCTGTCTCTACTAAAAATACAAAAATTAACCAACCATGGTGGTGTATGCCTGTAGTCCCAGCTAACATGGGAGTCTGAGGCAGGAGAATCACTTGACAATGATTCTTAGTTTAATGCTAAGAAAAAACATAAGAACGGAAATTAGGCATAGTCTGGTGAATTATCAGATAGATAATTGAATGAATCACTATGATATTTGGGGTTTATGATTTTCAGTCTCCCATTGTTAAAACAGTTATATTCATCCTCACCTGCTTACAAAAATTGTGTTAGAATTGGTTTCAAAAAAAAAGCCAGGTCTCCAAAACTGACACTCTTTAGGTAAACTTGAGTCTATAGGATTTTCCAGTTGTAAATAGACTAAATAATCTTATGTTCACAGAATACATTTGTATAAATTAAACACGTTTTCATGAGTCCCAGGTATCATTTATGAGAATATCATTACTTACTAAAAGCATATAAAAAGAATAAGGTGAAACAAGGCCAAGCGCAGCATTTCACACCTGTAATCCCAGCACTTTTGCAAGCCAAAGGATGAAGATCCCTTGACTCCGGAAGTTCCAGACCAGCCTTAGTGACCTAGTGAGATTGGCAACATAGTCTCTACAAAAAATGAATAAAGGGAAATTAGGCAGGTGTGGTAGTATGCACCTGTAGTCCTAGCTACTCAGAAGGCTGAGGCAGGAGGATGGCTTGAACTCAGGAGTTTGAGGCTGTAGAGCTATCACCTTGCCATTGCACTCCCAGTCTGGGTGACAGGGTGAGACCCTGTCTCAAAAAAAGAATAAAGTAAAACAAAGTCCAAGAGTAACTAGAACGTTTTTAAGAAACAGCAAATTCTAATCAAATTTCAACTAATTCTAACATAAATTTTGCTTCCTAGGTATGGCCCATGAGTGCTATGCTCAATAAAAATTCTCACAGTGGCCAGGTGTGGTGGTTCATGCCTGTAATCCCAGCATTTTGGGAGGCCGAGGTGGGTGGATCATTTGAGGTCAGGAGTTTGAGACCAGCCTGGTCAACATGATGAAACCCTGTCTCTACCGAAAATACAAAAATTAGCCAGCTGTGGTGGTGTGTGCCTGTAGGTCCACCTACATGGGAGGCTAAGGCAGGAAAATCACTGGAACCTGGGAAGTGGAGGTTGCAGTGAGCCAAGATCACACCACTGCACTCCCGCCTGGGGGACAGAGCAAGATCCTGTCTAAAAAAAAAAAAAAAAAAAAAGCTCACCGCTATCAACCCAATCATGCTTTTTGCTCCATCCAACTCTGTACCCTAAAATTAAGTCATTAAGCCATTCAAATTAAACCATTTCAGGCATAATATTTTTCAGTCACAATGTTAGAATAGATGAGTTCAAGGAAAGTTTTTGGCTGAATTATAGTATACTGAAATTAGAACTAAATATTTTAAGTTTTTATGTCAAATCTTCTAAAAATTACTTTTCCTTATCTATGTGGTTCAGTTCCATTGTGAGTTCAAAGTAAAATGCCCTTTTTTATCTTTATGAGCTTAAATTGACCTCAAATTAACCTTTATTATTATTATTTTTTATTATTTTTTATGCTCCTAAAGTTATAGAACGTGTTTGAGTATTTATCACTTTCAGGACGCTGAATGAGATCCTGATCATCTGAGAGAGTTATATGCCTTGTGTAAACAAGCATTTCTTTTCCTAGAGAGATTATCACAACTCACTATAGCAGCAGTTCTGCACAGTTGTACGTAAGATTACCTGAGGAGCTTATTAAGAATTCAGATTGCCAGGCCTCTTCCCCTGTGATTCAGATTCAGTAGGTCAGGAGTGGTGTTCAGGATCTGTCATCCTCGCCATTCTGATGTAAGAGGTTGCGCTAAAGCTTGCACTTTAAGAACACTGCTAGAGGCCAAAGACTAAAATAGATTTAGTGAAATATTCATAGTAAAACATAAATATTTCTTTCCCTTCTTTCCTGCTCTCTTTTCATGATTTTTCACTACCCCAAACTTAATGTATCACTTTCCCCATTGTCTTGTTTGCTCTCAAATCCACAATTAAGCTATATGTCTGGTATCTTCCTAACAGCCTATGCTTTTCATGTGGAAAATGTTACTTTATTCATTTTATAATCCTCTGGTAAAGTTTGTGCAGACACAACTGGTAGTCTTTATGACTAGAGATGGGGCTTAGTATGTTGTGTTTTTCTTCTGAATGTTTTCTCTCCGTTTTTCTGCCTGAGTAAGAAAGTGATAAGGAATTTATAACCTTATTAATAACCCTGCTTTGTAAAGAGCCAGTTTTCAAAATGACTGTGATTTTTCAGCAGGATGATATTGTTATTATTGTGAGGCTCTTTGGTTTCATGGCCATACCCTCTTGGCTTTTCCTTCTGGGTGTCTTTCTGGGAGTTGTAGTTTTCTGTTTCCTCTTTAGTGCAAGCGTGATTAAAATTCAATATTCATTGTGTATTGCACAAATAGTAATTCAGTGTCTATTAAATGCCAAGCACTTTCCTGGGCCCTCGGGATACCACTGTGAGCAAAATGAAACTGCTCTTTGTCCTCAGGGAGGCTTTCAGTCTAAATTATGGCCTGAAATATTTGGTAGTGTTACGAGGTGGCTCAGATCGCTCAAGTTAACTAAAGTTGACAGAAACAGTGAAATGTGGTTGCTGAAGATTTGTAGAACTGAATGTGCCTTTAAAGATTACTTATTTTAGTCTTCTGAGTTTAAAGCTGACAAAACTGAGATTACAGGAGGTCAAGAGGCTTTTGCTAAAATGTAGGTAGGTAGTGAAACAGATCTTGAATTGAGCTCTGATAAAAATGCTGGAATTTTAGGTCTGGGCCTTGGAGATCATCTATTCAACTCCTCATTTTTAGATTGAGGGTACTGATCCAGGTCCCAAAGCTATGCGGCTGCTTTGTGGCTCAGTCGCAATCTGTAGCTGAGTGTTCTTTATGACAAGCAGAACCCTTGAAATAAGATCTTGGTGTTAACTATGAGTTCAGAAGTTTTCCATCTACATCTTCCTGCCTGTCTCATGGACAGAGTATTTGGCTGAAATTGCTAATTACCTTTTAAAATAAACTTTAGATTTTAGAATGGTCATAGATTTATAGAAAAATTGGGACAGTAGTACTGAGTTCCCATATACTCCACACACGATTTCCCCTATTATTAACATTTTTTATTTATGTGGCCTACTAGTCAAAATTAATGAACAAATTATGACACGTTATTATTAACTAAAGTCTATACCTTGGTTAGATTTTCCTAGTTTTAACCTTATGTCCTTTATCTGTTCTAGGAACCCCTCCAGGACACCGTATTACATTTAATCACAATGTTTTCTTAGGATCTTCTTGGCTGTGACAGGTTTTCAGACTTTTCTTGATTTGAAGACTTTGACATTTTTGAAAAGTACTGGCCAGGTATTTTGTGGCATGTGCCTCAGTTGGGTTTGTTCTGTTGTTTCTCTCATTATTAGGCTGTGGGTATGGGTTTTGGGAAAGAAGACCACAGAGGTAAAGTGCCCTTCTCATCACATCATATCGAGAATACATATTATTTACATGACCTATCACTGTTAATTTTAACCTTAATTAGTTGGCTAAGGTAGTATTTGTCAGGTTTCTTCACTGTAAAGTTAAGCTTTTCTTCACCTTTCTGTATTGTATTATTTGCAAGACAGACACCATGTATACTCTACACTTAAAGAGTGAGGAATTATGCACCACCTCTTGAGGGTGGAGTATTTGCATATATTATTTGAAATGTTTTCTCATGAGAAATTTATTCTTCCCATTTATTTATTTATTCAATAAGTTTTAATAATTTATATCATTATGGCATTATAATTCAATAGCACTTAATTTTGTTGCTCAAATTGTTCCAGCTTTGGCCACTAAGCTGTTTCATTTGGCTCCTGTGTCCCTTTGACATAGTCCCATTAGTGTGTGTGTATGTGAGAGTGTGTGTGTGTGTGTGTGTGTGTGTGTATGTGTAAAACTTTTTACGTTCCAGAACGCAAGATGCTCCAGGCTCATCTTGTTTATTTCCTAAGTTCTAGGATCAACCATTCCCCCAAGGAGCTTTGGTTCCTTTTATTGGAAATGATATTAGAAACCAAGATCTGCACACTAGGTATGCTCTTCATTACTGGGATGTCATTGCTTTTAAGCCCTCTCACCTGAAACAGCAAGGAAATATATGCATGTATGCTAACCCTTATTAATACACATACCTATGAATATTTCTATGTATATCCAATCTGTGTCTATATTAAGCTAAATGAAAATTTATACTAATGTTTTTAATTTTCATCCACTGTTTATGGATCATTTTAGCCTTCTCCCTTTGCTTATCTGTAATTTCACACTTCAGCAGTGAGAAACCTGGCTTCTACTATTTGCCACCAGTTTATTTAATGTTCAAGTTGCAGTATACATATATAATGGTTTAAACAACTTTATCAACTAGAGTATAGTGCTTGCATATAGTTCCTTTTGCCTTTAGTGTTACATTACAGACTCCAAAGTTAATTCGGTCAGCAACTTTTTCTTACACTCCCTTCAGTGAAATTGTTTTATACATTTGTAATATGATTTGATTATTTTGTCAGAGCCTGCATTCCTTCAAATGATTTTTTAGTTCATCCTTTGTGATCTAAAGTTCCATTGGTTTTGACAATGCATAATATCATGTGTTTACCATCACAATAGTATCACTGCTCTAAAAGAAATTCCCTGGTTTTCACCTAAAAAACTCTCCTAATAGCCCCAAATCCCTGAGAACTATTGACCTATTAATCATTTCTATAGTTTTGCTTTTCCCATAGTGCCATCTAAATGGAATCATGCTGTCTGTAGGCTTTTCGAACTGACTTCTTTTATTTAGCAATATGCATTAAAGATACATTCATATCTTTGGGTGATATTAATTACTTTGTAATCATATTAGATATTAAAATGTATTTACTTCACTGTTTGTGACATTAATTGTGTTGGAATTAGTACTAACTATAATAATAATAATAAGTAAAGAACACAATACTAATATATGAAAGCAATTCACTCTGTTGAGAAAGGTTAGGAAAAGTTTCACAAAGGAGGAAGAAAAACTTGGATTAGGCTTTCTATTTTAATAGTATTCATTGTAAAGACAATGTTACACACACACACACACACACACACACACACACACACACACACACACACAGACACACACACAATCTTGCTACCTTAACAGAAAAGGTGCATTTATTTTGGTATATAGACTTCGGTACACATGCACTTTTAGTAAAATTTTATGTTTTTAACTTACTAATGTTACTGAAATTTTTTTCATGGTTATTGCTCTTCACAATTATAGTCTTGTATATGCTTTAAGCATATTTTTAATTTTTATAAAAATTATACATGCCAACTGTAGTTAATTAAGTAAATACAAAAAAGTATGAAAAAGAAAACGTGTAATCCCATTACTCATCTGTGAGGCAACATTTTAGTGTATCTCCTATCAGACTTTAAATGGTTACATGTTTATTTTACCTAACATTATCATATTTGGTTATTTAAGATTTTCACAATCATAAATTTAAGGGCTGCGTAACAGTAATCATTTGGATATTCCCCTGTGCTCATATTTTTTTTGCCTTTTTTTTTTTCCTGAGACAAAGCCTCACTCTGTCACCAAGGCTGGAGTGCAATAGCATGATCTCAGCTCACTGCAAAATCTACCTCTTGGGTTCAAGTGATCTTCCACCTCAGCCTCTCGAGTAGCTGGGATTATGGGCACACACCACCATGCCTGGCTAATTTTTGTATTTTTGTAGAGATGGGGTTTCACCATGTTGGCCAGGCTGGTCTTGAACTCTTGCCCTCAGGTGATCTGCCTGCTTTGGCTTTCTGTAGTATTGGGATTACAGGTGTGAGCCATGGTGGTCAGCCATGCTCATATGTTTCTATTCCACTATTGTAAATAATTGTGATAATGCTGTAACAAACATCTTTGTAAATACATTTTCTTCTGTGGTGTTTTTTTTTTTTTTTTTTGAGACGGAGTCTTGCTCTGTCACCCAGGCTGGAGTGCAGTGGCGTGATCTTGACTCATTGCAACCTCTGCCTCCTGGTCAAGTGATTCTCCTGCCTCAGCCTCCCAAGAAGCCAGGATTACAGGTGCCTGCCATCACTCCCAGTTAATTTTTGTATTTTTGGTAGAGACAGGGTTGCACCATATTGGCCAGGCTGGTCTCAACCTCCTGACCCCATGTGATCCGCCTGTTTTGGCCTCCCAAAGAGCTGAGATTATAGGGCATGAGCCACCGTGTCCAGACTATAAATAAATGTTCTATATATTTAAATTAATTTTCTCCAGAAAGACTCCTACAAAGAAAAATAAATTCCAAATCTCATATCAGTTGGGGGCAATTTCAGCTGTGACAATAACCCTCAATTGAAAAAGCTTAAACATTAAGAAATCAATTATATCATATAAAAAGAAAACCAAAGTTAGATTCATGGTTGCTTCATTCACTAATAATAATGGTGCAATCAGGAATCCCTTTGTTCTTCTTTAAGCTCTTTCATTCTCAGGATTTTGGTTTTGGTTGCAGGCTTAGACCTTCATTGCTGTAATATGGTAGCTGTGGTTTCAGGTATTATGCCATTACCCAAATGCCACCAGGAGAGATGAGGGCAAGACACCAGATATTGACTCACCATGGTGAGGGCTTTGGATTTTCTTTCTGCTTGGTAAACTTCCTTTAGCCATTCTTTTAGAGCAGTTCTGCTAGTGAAAAATTCTTCATTTTCCTTACTCTGAGAATGCCTTTATTTCATCTTCATGAAGAAAATTTTAACTAGTTATAGAATTATGGTTTGATACTTCTTTTATTTCCTCATGAAAAAAAATTTGCCCCATTTCCCCATGGTTTCTTTTTTTTTTTTTTTTTTGAGAAGGAGTTTCGCTCTTGTTACCCAGGCTGAAGTGCAATGGCACAATCTCGGCTCACCGCAACCTCCACCTCCTGGGTTCAGGCAATTCTCCTGCCTCAGCCTCCTGAGTAGCTGGGATTACAGGCACGCACCACTATACCCAGCTAATTTTTGTATTTTTAGTAGAGATGGGGTTTCACCATGTTGACCAGGATGGTCTCGAGCTCTTGACCTCGTGATCCACCCGCCTCGGCCTCCCAAAGTGCTGGGATTACAGGCGTGAGCCACCGTGCCCGGCTTCCCCATGGTTTCTAATAAGAAATCCTTTGTTATTCTAAGAATTTTTCTAGTATAGGTAAAGGAATATTTTTCTTTGACTGCTTTTAAGATTTTTTTCTTAGTGTTTAGTTTTCAAAAATCTGATTATAATGTATTTGAGCCTGGGTTTTTAAAAAAATTTTATTGTGTTAGAGATTTGCTCAACTTCTTGAATCTGCAGTTTATGTCTCTTGTTAAATTTAGGAGGATTTTAGCCATTATTTCTACAAATATTTTTTCAGTTCTGTACTCTTTCTTCTCTCCTTCTGGAAATCAGAAGGCACAAACATTATATTTTTTGTTATCATTCAGTAGGTTTTTGAGGCTCTGTTCATTTTTTGAAAAATCTTTTTTTCCCCTGTTTTCAGATTGAATAATTTTTATCGATGTACCTTCAAATTCACCGATTTTTAACTCTGTCATATTCATTTTGCTCTTCATTCAATTAGGCAAGTATTCAATTTAATTCTCAGTATTTTTCAGTTCTAAAATTTCCATTTAGGTCTTCCTGATATCTTCTGTTTCTTTGCTGAGACTTTGTGTTTCTTCATTTGTTTCAAGAGAATTCAAAAACACTCGTTGAAACATTTTAAGATGGCTTCTACAAAATCCTTGTCAGATAATTTCAACATCTGTGTTTTCTCAGTGTAGGTGTCTTTTGATTGCTTTTTCTCATTCAAATTGAGATTTTCATGGTTTTTGCCATAATGGGTAATTTTATATTGTATCCTGAACATTATGAATACTAAGTATAAGACTCTGGTTTCTATTTAAATCTTCTGTTTTAGCAAGAATTCAACCTGTTTATATAAAGAATATACATCCTAATCTACTTTTGTGGGCTGTGATTCAAATGCAATTTAGATTTTCAAGCCTTTGCAGTGTTATTCTGGTCTGACCCAGTTGTGTGCTTCCCAGAGACCAACTTGAATTCTGGGCAGTGTTTCAAAAGAGTGTTCAATTTTCAAACCTTTTGCTATGTTGTTTCTGGGGTTACATGCATAGGCTTCTAGGAAGTCCTCTCAAGATCTCAATAGCTCCTTTCTTTCTTTGGAAGGAGGAGTAACACCACTTCATTATTGTATGGCAGAGATAGAAGATAAGGCTCTGCCCACAGTCTCCAGGCTGCAGCATCTGGTGAGGAAGGAAAGGTATATGGCTGTGTTGCTTTTCTCTTGGCGTTCACCTGGAGTAGGGCAGGTATGGTTGAAATGTTTATGTCCTGCTGGGCTTGCTTTTTCCTCCATCCTTTGGATAGGGCTTTTTGTCCTTTTGGGATTTGTGTATGTGTGTGCATGCATGTGTGTGTGTGTTCTTGCTGGTGTTTTAGATTGTGTTCCTTTCCAAGACTAGGATATACAGGAGGCAAACAAAACAGAACAAAACAAACTAAGAGATTCATAGCTATGCCATTCTTCAAGTCCTGGGGTCCCTAACCAGTCTGCTTTCTTTTCTCCAGTTTTGTCTTCTTTCACTTATGTTATAAATATTGTCCAGGGCTGGTTTGTTTTGTAAGTGGTGGGAGGAATAGGATGAATGAAATGTGTTTACTTTATCTTGTTCAAACTGATAGCTCAGGACTTTGGATTCTTTGGGCAATGGGATAAATTTGGATATTTTTGAGCAAGGGAGGGAGATCATCTGAGTTACATTTTAGAAATGATACACTGCTTGTTGTTTAGGGAACTTGCTGGTGCAGTGGTACATGTGGAGAGGATGGTGCATTGGACTAGAGAGTAGAGAAATGTGAAGGATTTGCAGAATTTTTACAGAATCTGCTGATAAGAGAAAGAGGAATCAGTTTTTCCAAGTTTTTTGGCTTGAGAAACTCGGAGAATTATTGTATCATTTACTAAGATAGGGAATTCCAGGGTAGAAGCAGAGTTGGGATTAGACATGGAACTCAAGAGTCCAAATTTTAGATGTGTCCAGCTCAAGATGCTTTCTAGGAATCCAAATAGAGATGTTGAGTAGACAGTTGGCTATTCAAGTCGAGAGTTTAGGGGAGAGTCAGGGCTGCTTATATATACATTTGTAAGCCATGAGTCAGAAGATGATACTTAAAACCAAAAGAATGGTTAGATTACTTAGTAGTGAGTGTAAACACAAAGTAGAAAAGGTCTAAAACACTGAGCTCTGTGTCTCCCTAACATAGTATCTGCATTCCTCAGTGGAATTTGTTGTAGCTATTTCCTTTTCTAAAATATCCTTTTCTCCTCATTTCATTGACATCACCTGCTCTCTAGGTTTTTCTCCAGGTTTTTAGGATGTCCCTTCTCATCTTTATTGGCAGGTCTTTTCCCTGCCTTCCTGACGTATCCCTTAAAAATTGTTTTATTTGGGGCTGGGTGCAGTGGCTCATGCCTGTAATCCCAGCACTTTGGGAGGCAGAGGCAGGCAGATCACAGGGTCAGGAGTTCAAGATCAGCCAGTGGCCAACATGGTGAAACCCAGTATCTACTAAAAATACAAAAATTAGCCGAGCGTGGTGGTGTGTGCCAGTTATCTCAGCTACCTGGGAGGCTGACGCAGGAGAATTGCTTGAACTCAGGAGGCAGAGGTTACAGTGAGCCAGGATCACACCACTGCATTCCAGCATGGGGGACAGAGTAAGACTCCATCTTGGAAAAAAAAGTTTTATTTTGTTTTGTTTTGCTTTTTCTCCTACAGATTGTAGTTTCTAACTGCCATTTTCCACTGGGGCTTACCAAAATGGCTGATTCCAGGTCTGAGGCAGGAAATATATATAATACAAACCAGGTTTATCTTTCATGCTAATAGATAGGAAAGCTACTGATGCACTTGGGTTATGTCAAAGGGACACAGTGTCCAGCTGGAAAGAGCTCTCACTGGACATATTTGGGACAAGTTGAACATCAAAAATAATAATAATTACAATAGATTAAAACACATCAGGTATATTAAAATCTATGTGTTGATGATAGTACCAAAAAAGGGTCATCTTTCAAGGATGCTAGGAAATCGACTTATTCTGAAAACTGGTAAATAAAAGGGAAGAGTCATAGTTATTTTGTCTTTTATATAAGAACTGTACCTCTGGGTACTTAAAGATTTAATGTGGTGAAATTCTTCTTTGTGGAAAAATTCCAGCTAATAAATGTGGAGGGAATAATAGAATAGCAACATTTTGCAAACCCTAATGAAATAATGGATTCAGGCAATGATGATAAATGGCTGATTAAAGATCAAGTTGACTATATCTGAATTCACTGACTCATTTAATATCATAAAAAGAAAGACAACAGACATTATGTGTCTCTTGATAGGCACTAGCCACATGTGACTATTGAGCATCTGAAATGTGGCTAATCGAACTCATGTGCTATAAGTGTAAAATAAACACTAGATTTTTAAGACGATTTGAAAAAAACAAAATGTCCCATTAATGTTTTAAAGTATTGATTAAATGTCAAAATGTTAAAATTTGGATATATTGGGATAAATAAAATATGTAATTAAAATTATTTTCACCCATTTTGTTTTACCTTTTTAAGATGTGTCTTTTAGAAAATTTAAAATTACGTACATGGCTTGAATTATATTTCTGATTTGTTCACAGTGAAATTTTCAGTGGCCAGTACAGAGCCTGACACAATTGTATAAATAAATGAAGTTGCTAATAGTTAAAATTATTTAATTATTTATGTGATTTCATCTGCTAGAAACTTAGCCCCAAATTGGGAGAAGCAGTGGGGAATGAGAGTGGTGGAAAGTATATCAGATTATAGCGAGATTTTAGAGAAAAGCAGGGGATATGTGCCTGTAGATGTTCTGAAGTGGGAGCCTGAAGACTATAAAAATGCTTGTGTATTGTATTGGTTCATTCTCACACTGCTGCAAAGAACTTCCTGAGACTGGGTCATTTATGAAGAAAAGAGATTTAATTGACTCACTGTACTGCCGACCTAATCAGAAGCATAAATGGGAGGCCTCAGGAATTACAATCATGGATGAAGGTGAAGGGAAAGCAGGCGTATCTCACCATAGCAGAGCAGGAGAGAGAGAGAGAGAAAAAAGGGGGAAATGCCACACACTGTCAAACCATCAGAGCTGCGATAACACACTCACTATTATAAGAACAGCAAAGGGGAAATCTGCCCCCATGATCAAAACAGAACAATTGGGGTTGGGATTCTAAGCACAGCTGACTAATAGAGATGAATGGGACTAGTTACATGGATTTAAGAATAATTATAAATTAAGATCTTTAGTGTTTTAATGAAGATATTATTCACCTCAATAATCACTGACTTTTTGTTTTATTTTCCTTTAACCCAATTCATTGGATATTATTTGTAATCAGGCAATTTGAAAAGAGATGACTTTGTCAGCAAATCCTCTGAAGTATGTTCCCATAAATGGTAATGTTAGATATTCTGTAGGCACCTATCTTCCTTTGAGGAATTAAAAGTTATCAATCTCTTGTAAAAAGATTGTTTAAGACTGAATAGACCATGTGTACAAGTACTGTAATATTGGGGTTCAGGGTGCCCTCAGCTCCCCTGAGAGGATGTTTCTCCAGGTTCTTGGCCTCCTGCCCTCTCAAGAATGAGAGAGGGGACCACGGCACATTGCACAGGAAATGCTGGACTCAAAAGTGTTTGTAGAAAGTGATTTTATTTAAAGAAACAGAAACAGGAGAAAGAGAGAAAAAGAAACCGCTAACTCTCACACTGAGTGAGAGAATCCAGAAAGATGGAATCAGGAGAGGAAAGCAGCTTCCACAGTGAGTGGAAGGGAATAGAGAGAGAGATGGAATTTAGGAGGGGAAGACAGGCTTCCACGAGAGAGTGTTTGAAGGGGACTCCAGAGGAAAAATCAAGGATAGAGAAAAACAGCTTCCCCGAAGGGAGTGTTCGTGGAAGGGGATCCAAATATGGAGTCCGAAGGGGTGTGAAGGAAGGGGACTCTTAACCTGGTAGGAACTTCAGCCCTCTCTAAGACCCCAGGCCAATGAAAGGAGTTCCTTCCGCTAGAGTGATTGACTCTTAGTTTCTTCTTGTGAAATTTAAACATAAACCATTAAATCTCCCAGATGGAGAGAGATGGGAGGGAGGCATGGCGCTAGGAAGTTCTTGTGCTTAAAACTACACCCCTTTGTGGACCCTGGAAAGAGAACACCTTCCCTCAGTACTACATAATAATAATATTGAAGGTAATCAGAATTACTGGGTTAGAAGAAGAGAATTAAGCATTTTTGACAAGAAAGCAGTAGAATTTTATGCAAGAAAAGATAAGAACAATAAGGAAGAGGTTAAAGAAGAAAAGAAAGAATCAAGATAAGTGGGATTGCTAAAGTTTAATTGTGTAGGGGGTGCCATGATACGTAGTCAAAGGCTGCTATAGGTGTAACACTAAGTTTTGAACGAGATAAGAAAGGTTCATTATTATCATAAACCTGAAAGTCAGTTAGGACTTTAGCCATCAAGAGTGATAGCTGCAAGACAGATGAAAATATTTAAAAGATTCTTCCCAAAACATTCCTAATGTGTCTCAAAGCAAGATTTTCTTTGAATAAGGACCAGCAAAACTCATCAGCTCATTACTAACAACAAACACCATTTTGTGTTAACAGAAAATGGCTATAAGTTAAATAACATTTGTAAATTATAATACAAATAAATGATAGGTTTAAAAACAGAAACATCCAGGAGCATGGATGAGAAGTTTGATAAACTCTGATGGAATAAACAAAATAGTAACTTACAGTAGCATTTAGAGTTATACATTTTAGACTGTTAGGGCTGGAAATGGTCCCAGAGATCAATGAGTTCAACACTGTTGGTTTTTTAGTTGAAGAGGGGGAGAAAACATGTCTAGAGATGTTAGATGACTTAAGATCACTAGTGGGAAAATCTGGACAAGGAAACTGATCACAGCTTGTCACTGTGCACTGTATAAAGCAAAATTGTACGCTACCTTTCCTGTCCCAGAGGAGCCTGAAATCAAGCTTGATCTTTGCCAGACAAACATGTATATTCACCTCAGGTTATGTGTCTCAAAAATTGAAGGAATGGCAAATTTGGGGGTGGGACAGTTATGAAATTATCTGTAACCTTTTTTTAAAAAAAATAGTTTAATGTATTTTCCTAGCAAACTTACAGGAACAGCACAGATGACAGACAACATTAAAAACATGTACTTGCCTCAGAAACGTTTGGTGAATGGATAGAATCTACTGTATGACAAAAATACTACAAACACCATTTAGTTGCCATCAGTAAGAAATTTACTTGTTTTTTTAAAAAATCCAAATGCTGGCATTGTCCAGAAAAATTTAACGTTTATTTATAATTATTATAAAGTTGAACCATTGAAACTTGTTCGCTTAAACGTTTTGACTTGCATTAATGCTTTGTGTCCCTGCATTTATATTAAAAATTCACAAATATGGAGAAACTTCCAATCCCTGATTTCTGTCCCCTCTTCTTCCACTCACAGTCATAAATTTAGGTACCTTCTCAACTCATGAGAAAAAAAAGTCTAACATTCAGAACTAATAATAATAATAATAGGAAGAAGATAATTTGTTTTGAGAATGAACTGTTTCCCATCATCAAGGATTCTTAAGCATGTTCTCCACGTTTTCGGTGTGCTAGCTGGATGTCTTTTGGCATAATTGTTATACGTTTGGCATGGATAGCACACAGGTGGGTGTCTTCAAAAAGGCCAACCAGTTAAGCCTCACTTGCCTCCTGCAAAGCACCAATAGCTGTGCTCTGGAAGCGCAGATCTGTTTTAAAATCCTGAGCAATTTCTTGCAGCAGGCTGAAGGGAAGTTTGCGAATCAGAAGTTCAGTGGACTTCTGCTGATGTCTAATTTCGCCGAGTGCCTCAGTACCAAGACTGTTAACAATGAGGTTTATTCTCATTGGTTTATACTACTCTCCTTCCAAAGGAGAGGTTTATACTACTCTCCTTTCAAATAGTCTTATCCAAAACGCTTTTTCCCTCTCCCCTACCTTGCCCCATTAAATATAAACAGGGATTGGTTAATGTCCCTCTCCTGAATACATGTAAAATTTGTACAAAAATATGTTCTATGAAAATGATTTGTAATCTGTAGACTTATTACCTGGGAGATGCCTTGAGATGTAAAAATCCCATCCTTTGGGTTGTGAGTTTTTTGTTTTCTCCAAATAAATCTGATCTTTAAAGTTAAAAAAAAAAAAAAAAAGAAAGAAAAATGAAGCTTATTCACCCATCCAGTAGAGGGCGCACTCTCATGAATGGCTTTTGTAGTCAGTTGCTTCCCGGGTGCTTTACCACCGGTGGATTTGCTTGCAGTCCGCTTTGTAGGAGCCACGGTACAATGACCTCCCTACCTAACCCCCTTCACCTTCGGCTGGAGCTCCGCGAAGTGAGAGGCGGCGCTGACATTAGAGGCCGATGGCGGCGCTGTGGCAGCATTTGTAGCCTCTTAAGGTAAAAAGCGTTCTTTATAAACTCTCTTTCTGAACTGGGTACAGGAATAAAATTTGATTATCTGCAAAGTATTGGGAATTGATGGATATACATGGAATTTTGAATGTTAAAATTTTTTTTTTCCTTTCTTTCTGGATTCTTAGAACTCAGCATCCACCCAAAACCAGTCTCCCAAATTGGAATTTTCAAGAAATTCTAATTTCAAGCTCTTGCTTGAGAAACATAATGCCTTCGAGCTATGTTAATGCTTGTTCATGGTCAGTGAATTCTTTTTTTTTTTTTTTTTTTTTTTTGAGACGGAGTTTCGCTCTTGTTACCCAGGCTGGAGTGCAATGGCGTGATCTCGGCTCACCGCAACCTCCGCCTCCTGGAATCAGGCAATTCCAGTGAATTCTTAAAGTGAGAATGTGGGAGGAAGGATCATCTAAAAATATACCTAAGGAAAGAGAAGAGGTCTTTGATTTGTGAAAGAAAAAAGTCAGTAATTTATTTGAAATGTTTGCATATAAGAACATTTTAAGTGCTTTGAAAATCAATTTTTTAAGTTTATTCATTCATTTATTTATAAATATTTAATGAGGAAGACATTTTTCTAGATATCAAGAACACAGCAGTGAACCAAACAGACATCGGTATCTTCCCTCGGTAAGCTTATATTCTAGTTGGGGTGAGAGACACAATCAACAAATAAAGAAGTTATACATATGGTACGTTGAATGGTAACAAGTGCTATGTAATGAAGGGGATCAGGGCTTTGGAGGAGGGATTGCTATTTTAAATCGTGCGTGACGGGAATCTTCACTGAGATGATGACATTTAAAGAAAATTACAAGAGGTAGGGAAGCAAGCTGTGTAGCTCTCTGGGAGAGACAGCGTCCTTGGAAGAAGGGTGTTGCTGGCAGAGGAAATAGTATGTTCAAAGCTCCAAGCAGAGCATGCTTAAAGTGTTTGAAGGGGCCAGTATAGGTGGTGCAGAATGAGCAGGAGATAGCATCAGAGGAAAATGGAACATCATGTTCTGCAGGACCTTGAAAGTCATGTAAGGACTCTGGCTTTCACTTTTTTTTTTGAGACAGAATTTCACTCTTGTCACCCAGGCTGGAGTGCAGTGACGCAATCTTGGCTCACTGCAACCTCTGCCTCCTGGGTTCAAGCGATTTTCCTGCCTCAGCCTCCCGAGTTGGCTTTTACTTTGATTGAGATAGTAAATCATTGGAGAGCTTTGAGCTACAAAAAATCACTGGAGTGGAATGATGTGGGCTGACCTTTATATGAAAAAGAACACTGTGGGCGGCTGTGTTGACAATATCCTGTCCCAGTTTGGGGCAGAATCTGGAGACCAGCTAGGAGGCTACTACAGTAAGAGAGAGGTAACAGTGGCTTGAAGTCTACTGGTAGCAATTGAGATGGTGAGAAGCTGTCAGAGAACTGGACATATTCTGTAAATAGAACTGATCTGTTTTGTTAATGGATTGGATGAGAGAAATGAGAAAGGGAGAGGAGCCCAGGATGGTTCTAAGATTTTTGTCTTGAACAATTGTGAGATTGGAGTTACCACTTGCTGAGATGGGGGCTGGGAGAAGCAGTTTGGGAAGATGGAAGGCTAGAAATTTGGTTTCCAAATTTGGTTTCACTTTGTCCTGAACTCAACAATGTTGAAAACCAAATTTCTCTTGCCTTGCTTTGCAATTAAAAGTAATTGAGAAAACCACACTTACTTTTTCACCAACCTACCTAATATTTGTTGTTAGTGTGGCTTGTGATTTGCTGTGTGTGTGACTATGTGGAAAAAGAGCAATCTTAACAACTTGAAATAAATTAACTTCATATCATTTTGACCAAAACACCTGTCAGAGGCTTTTATTTATTTATTCTTTTCCATTTGATTTTTAAACAGATATTTACACTGGATATAAAATTCTGAGTTGGCAGAATTCCTCCAACACCCGCCTGCCATGCTTCTCAGTACTGTAAAGACATTTTCATTGTAGAAGCTTTTATTTGTTTATTTTTAAATCTGTAGAGTGTAATAAAAGATTTGGGAAACATTTCTTTACAATATTTAGTATTTACATTTATACTTTATTATTATAATTTATAAATCTAAATTATATTAGATTTATAATTTATGCAAATCAAGGTCTTTAAAAAAACTCAGAATGCGAGGAAAAAATTTAAAATGTACAGTTATTAATGGTAAGATAGAAATAATAGAATAAGTTAAATGTCAAAGGGTTTAAGGATATATTAATTTTTATTGTATGATTTCAAAGTAAATCCCATATAGTATATCTTTCCACTCATAAATGCTTCTGTGAAAATGTTTGTCTGAAGAACATGTTTTATTCACTTATCTATCTAGCTACACTTTTTAGTTGCTATCCATGTACTACCACTTAGGAGGTTTTATCTGTCTACAATGCAGGTATAAGAGATTCTTAAAGCAACTCTTAAGAGTTGCTCTAAGTCAGGGGTTCCCAATTCCTAGGACACAGACTGGTATACCCACCCCTCTCTTCCTCCGCTGCCCCAGTCATCATCTATGGAAAAACTGTCTTCTATGAAACAAGTTTCTGGTGCCAAAAAGGTTGGGGACCACTGCTCTAAGTGACAATAAAGTTAAATAAAAATTCTTCAGTGAGGTTACACTATACATATTAAAATAAAATGTTTCCTCATTCAGTCTTGTGTGAAGTATTTGAGTTTTATGGGAACATTTATGTAAATATAAGTTATATACATCTTTGAAAAAGTATAGCTTCTGCACAACTAATTGAAATGCAGCTCAGCCTATGTCTGCAAATGAACTGAACTGAGAACTTTCCTGGGAGATTAAAAATATTTTAATATTCTGTTTAAGAAAGCAAGAAATTTTAAGTGATCCAAAGAGAGGTTTCTAGATCAGAGATATTTTAAAAATATTTAAGTGGAAGTGAAGTTTTAGGTATTATACAACTTTGGAAAATTAAGAGATTACTTAAAAAATGTTTTGCCTAATAGATTGATTAATATATATTTATCTTTCAGCTGCCTACAGAATTCAATTGCATAGATTATCATCACATTTATAAGACCTATAAGAGAAATTTGTTTTAGTCAAGAATATTCCAAAAGATATTGAAAGAAGGGCATAGATTTCAGCTATTCTCAGATACTTCAAACTGATCTTTGTGGTACATCAAGGATTTATTTTGGAAAGGACATCATAGGCTTGCAGGTCTGGAAGTGCCCATAAGAGTTCATCTAGTTCATCATGTCAGTTTAAGGATTATTAAAATTGCCAGATGCAAAACCAGTTATAATAAGCTGGTTTTCCAACCTGTGAACTCTGGAGAACTCTTCTAAAGGCAGAATCTCCTTTTCAAAGATATTAAAAATAAGGCTTTTCCTCATTTCACTTTTGCTGAGTCCCCAACAGTGGTGGTATGTTTTAAAGGGTCTCCTCACAATACTTTAAACCCTTAAAAGAGTTTAGAACTTAAACTTCAAATAATCTTCTCTTTGTCAATGTCTTTTGGTGTTCTTCAAATAATAGTCCTTTGTTTAAAGAAAATCAGACTTAAACTTGTGCATTAAGTGATTAAAGTAAAAGCTCATTATTATGTTTTCCCTGTTACTTCACCTCTGATCTTTCAACTATGACCTCTGCTTTTGATCTGTTTCCAAAGTATTAAAATATAACCATTATAAAGAACTAGTCTTTATAGTAACACCATCACCAACATGTCCTTTGGCTGTTTCCGATTATTCAGGCCTTCTTCTTCAGTTTTGAGACTACCTAGAATTTTTTTGGTTCACTTCATGTTAGTGATTTCTCAACTTTCTCTCTCAAGGGACTCTTTCAGCATCTAATTACTTTGAATGTTAAATCATTAAAACATTAAAAACATTCTGATTTTTACAACTATACTTATGAAAGAAAATAAGCAAAAAAAAAAAAAAAAAAAGAAAAACTGGGTAAAGGATAACTGATTATTTCCAAAATATTCTTGAATATTGTTGCAATGTCAGCAGTCACAAATAAGTATATATACATAAATGTATGTAAAATACTACAATGGATTAAAAATATCACGCATATTAAAATCTCAATGATTTTTAAAAGCATCCTCATTAGTCACTCTTGGGAACAAAGTTATTGTTCTGAAAACTGATAAAAAAAGGTAAAGAATTTTTAAAACATATTTCTTAAATTAGAGAAATTTAAAAATGCCCTCTGTCAGTTTCCACCAAATACCAAAAACAAATTCCTTTTTCTTTATCCTTAGCATTCCACATGTGTTTTATATATGCCACAGTTATACTGTGCTGGAGTCCCAGGGTCTTATAAAATCAATTTTGGAACATTTAGGGACTTAAGAAACATTCTTATTAGTAACGTATTTCAATAAACATTAGTGGTGCTACTTTTAAACAAACAAACAAAAAATGAAATGGTTTTCTTTAAAGGATATGTATCCATGGATTAAAAAAAGTAGGGCCAAATGTGGGAGAGTAAAGATTATACTGGTGTTTTCTTCCAGTGCTCACTAGACTCTTGAAAGGTAGTTTTCATTCCTTGAAGCCTTTAAGATATCTTAAAATCTTCTTAGCATCTTATGGAGGAAAGCATTTTAGCTTAAATTTGTAACAAATTCTAAGACATTAAATTACCAGGAGTTTTGGACTATGCACTTCCATGGCACCATGGCATTGCTATACATTTTTTTTTCTTTGTAGTTGGGTGATGTTGCCATGTCCTACTCCAAATCAAATCTGCATTATGATGAATCCTGATGCAAGACATGTCTTTATCCTAATCCACTCAGCTGCCTATACTTCCTCTTACTGTTCTCCTTGCTGGTTTTGGCTCTTATCTCAGCAGGAATTCTGTGGCAAGCTTCTTGCAGGACACATTTCTTCTTTAAAAAGGAAAAGACAAGCTCCTACTCTATTTTCCCCTGTCCTTGACTGTAAACACATTCACTTATATTCAACAAGCATATTCATTTAAAATATTT